AAGATTTCTGAATTTTTTTTTAAAAAAAAAAATTAATAAATAAATACTTTTATATTTAAATTTTTAATAACTTAAGTTTAGTAAAGTTTTCTTTTGGCATATTGTTATTTTAAAAATCTAAATCTATTATTTAAACATGCCAATTTTAAAAGCCTTGCAAGAAATCATGTAATTTTTGTAGACTGGTAGTTTCCTAGCATTGACAGAAAAATTTTTACTATTATATATTACTAGACAAATTTTTTAAGTTTGTCTATATTAGGTTAGATCTATGTTAAGATTATTATTTTGAGTTTTTAATAGTAAAATCATTCAAGAAAAACATTTTAATACACAGAAAATAATTTTTTATATAGATTTTGACTAAATAAATGTTTGTTTTGAACTTTTCTGATTATATAACATTACACCAAATCATGATTCATTATTGGCTTATTTTGTTGATCATCATGTGATAGTGAAAATTACATAATAATTTTTCTAGTGTTTTTGGAATAGTTAGACTAGTGTGAATTAGTAATTGTATCTAAATAACTCTTTATTTGAAAGAGTATAACCTTTAATAAATTCCAATAACTGGTTTATATCCTATTGAAGAAAAAGATAATGATTATACCCTAGGTTATATTCAGGATATCATGACATTAGCTGATCCTACATAGATTATTGGCCAATCAATTACAGGATGCTATTTCTACCTTTACTAAAAAAACACATTACTACTTTATAATATATTTTGACTAAACAACTTCTAATATTTTTATCTTAATCATATTCTATATAAAAAATTATTACATTTCCAACATATCTTCTTATTTTTTGTAAAAACCCATGAATCTGCAACATATATGCAATACATTATTTAATATATCAGTATAAAACAGATGATTTATTTACAGACAAGTTTATTCATAAACAGTATATTTTACTAACAGTATATTTTATAGACAAAGTATTTTTAGTCATTGTTGTTAAGGTTAGGTTTAGAATTAGAGCTAAGGTTAGCGCAATTTAAAAAATAATTTGTCGGTGAAATGAGTTATCACAAATACTGTTTATGAAATGAACTTATGACGCAGTTATTAATTTGATATGTTATAGTTATTGTATGGGTTATAAAATAACTAAATTTGCACGGGTTTACATGGCCGAAGGTCATGCCGTGCAAATTTAGTTATTTTATAACCCATATAATAACTATTTTATTGCACGGTGTCTGACGTACAATCCCGTGCCAATAAGTAAATGAAAAAAGCACGGGTTGTTACATAAGACCCGTGCAATATATTACCCTAGGTTATCTCTTAAGTTAACCGGATATCCTAATTGTGTAACCCGTAGTCAATTTTATAGTCTGGTTAACCGGCTACAATACCCTAGGGTACGATCACTAAGTGTGAATAACCTATAAAAAAAGGCACGGGTTGTTACATCGTATCTATGGGATAAATACCTTACACAAATAGATGTGTAAAATGTTTTTGTTTTAATGAAAAATTAATCTACGTGTAATACACGATATATATTCTCAAATCCAACTATAAGTTGTAATCACATTATATTCAGTTCACTCAAATAAATTAATTCCATTCATCATTGGAACTAGAGTTCCTATCCATTATCCGTTTATCCATTTATCTATTGGATATCCAGATTTGAATTTATTCGGATATCCGTTTTACTATTGATATCCGGATAATTAACCGAATATTTGTCGGATTATCCAGATACCAATAATGGATGACGGATTTATCCTCTAATTGGAACTAATTTCGCACATTTATGTACATTTTAATTACACAATAAAACTACTGAGAGAATAGTTTCTTTAAATCATAGCAATGTTTAGAAAGTATGTAATTAAATCACTACGGTTGTGCTCTTAACATCTTTCATAACATTAAGTCTTAGCATTTTGATATTTTTTTTACTATTGTTAGCTAAGAATATTCCATTCTAATAATGAAAGTATGGAATTAATTATTATTACAGATAATATTAATTATAATAGTGACCCAATTATTATCAAAAGCGATATTTTTTTAAATTCAATTTCCCAAATACGTTAGTCATCGTTTATTGTACTTGGCGTAAGAAAGTCATGCCAAATAGCTTATCGATATTATTATTATAATCAAATGATTAAATGCTAATTGTTAGCAAATTTTAAGAAATTGAATGTAAACAGATCGTATACAAATATTACTTGAGATACGACAAAGGTCTTTCATTCGTTTCTTTCATTTTCAGGACTACGTAAATATTTTTTTTATTCCATTTAGGAAAAAGTTTTCTCTAAAATTATTTGCTATTGGTTAATCAGTGAAAAAAAAAGAAACACTTTTAGTGAAAATAGGAGTAGGATAAATAAGAATATTAGCTATAAATATTCAAGCAAAGAATGTAGATTCTATCATGATGCATATTTACAGAATAATTTAATGTGATTTGTGAAATTTTTATCGAAAGCATTTTTGTTTATAGTCGGCAATAATCAAAATTATTCTTTCTACGTATCAAAGTATTGTCGTTAAAATTTCCAAATTATTATTGTTTCCTAAATTTATCTGTTAGATAAACGTTGTTAAAACTCTTCAATATTATTGATGTTTGATGTTTCGTGATTAAAACTATAATTAGCTCATTAATCGAATCGGCGTGATTTACGCAGATTCATGTTTCGAACTCACTCTTCTAATTTATCTCATATCTCGAGAGTCCTAAATAGATGTACGTACGTATGTACGTACATGTCAATATTAATTTCACACATGTATGTACGTACATACGTACATGAATTAATGTAATTTAGGGTAGATGAACTTAAAAATTACGTCGTACGTGCATTATCGATCCTATTGCTTTGCAAGAGGAAAAGCATCCATTTCATCAGTTCAATTATGAACTGAAAATTTATACGATTAGTAATAACAAATCAGTATTGGTTGTTATCATTGATGCAGATATAACGGATATAATCGAATAGGAGTTCAGCATAGTGTGTAAGAAGTACAAAATCTGTTATCTCGTTGATCGATAACCAATTTTGGATACAATAACCTAATTTTTAATTCAATCTTGTACGTACGTATATACGTGACTACATTTTGTCAACTACCAATTGGTTGGATTTTTTTTCGTAAATTTTTGGTTGTGGATTACTTTATATAGTCTAATTAAACAGTCAGATGAACAAACAATTCGTCTACAGAATCAAAAAGAAAATTTAATGTAAAACGTGAATAAATATTTATATATATTTTTTTATTAGTTATAAAGTAATGCCTTCCTTTTAATGAAAACAATGGTATTTTTTTCTAAGAAGTTAATGTGTGGTTATTATCCCTATTGTCATGAAATGTTTATGTATCATTATGAAAATATCAAATCAAGCGCGTTTTTACTAAAAATTTTATAGTTAAGACTGCGATAAAACGTGAAACGCATTGTTAATCTGAAGTGATTATTCGTGTAATATGGTACTGCATCTGATACGTATTTTTAGCTTCATATAAATTGTTACACAATGCTGAAAGGTCTTGCTCTTACGTGAAGTAGAAAGTAATAAACGAACACGTCACTTACAAGCAATAAAAAACAACTTATTTCTGGTGCATATACGAAATAAATTTGCAAACAAATAATTAAAAATTATATTAAACTGTAGAAAAAACGCATTAATAGATGTTTAGATGTCCGGTGTTTCATGATCGGTTAGTTGCTGAACGATTGGTTGAATCATGTGTAAAGGTGGATTCGGGTGCCAATTTTAAGAAAATGGCCTTCTAAACTTGACTTTAACCTTTAATTAAATACATGTATATACATAATTTTTTTTATCATTATAATTCAAGACAAGTTAAAAGGCCGTTCTTCTGAGAATACGATTTGTTTAGCAAAACCTTGCTTGGCAATTTTCAATTTTGATTTGCTAATTTTAGGGTCCGAACAAAATTGGCCCACATGGGATAAATCTGGCGATCAATATTATTGCCTAAAGTAGCAAATCAGTATAAAGTAAAAAAAAAAGATTTACCTGAATTAGAAATTCAATATAGAAGTTTAAAAATGATTAATGCAACATTAAATGTATCACGTTACAATTTTTTGATCAGATGTTTATAGCATATACGTATAGCATTTATATTCTTTATTGCTTTTCAATATGATGTTCATTGTTAAAATTATAACATATTCTTAATTAATTCATTCAATAAGAATGTGTAGTCATATTGAGATTAGCATTTAATATGCATTATCGAAAATTCTTTCTGTTCCATCATATTTTCATATTTATTCCTTTAGCTAGATTGATTCGCGTTTTTGGTTAGATTTCTATTTTCATTCAACTGTTAGAATTATTTTTATCAATTTTTTTTACTAATCAGTGCTCTTGTGTGGCCTTTAGAAAAAGACTTGGAATGAATGGAGCAGTAACATTTTTCAGTGATTAAGGGGGTTGGATTCAGAGCTAATCTAATAATGATTCCATTTAATAGATGCTTTATATATATGTTATTAAAGAAAAATACCGGTTAATATTTAATGTATCAAGTTCAGTATTTATGAAGTGAGACGTGTCTTGGTGATAAGACGTTAATCATTTTAAGTTTCTTTTTTGAACTGTATTGACATAATTATAATTGTTTAAATTCGCTAAATTTAATCTGCTGGTTTATTTATACGTTATACTCAATTTAGTTACTATTTGTTCTAATTTTGTTACTTGATTGCATTAATTTTTTTCCATCAAGAACTCAGTGTTGTCATCTTACGCAATACACAGCTATCGATATTTTGTACTTCATGATTATTCTAAAATCGCATATATTACTATGTATTCGGAAATACTCATATATTTCTCTAACATACCTTCTGAAATGTGAGCAATTTATATAAAGCAAGTTTTTTTTACCCGCCTTTTTTTTTTTTTTTTTGTTTGTCAAGTGTTTGCGTTTTGATATATTTTTTCGAGATCATTTTACTTTGAATTATTAATCATGTCTATAAAATTATCGCGTCAAAGCTATGCTTCTTCATCCACACAATCTCGTCCCGTTCGAACCTTTCCTAAAACGGAAGAACTAGAAAGTATAATTTCAAAAATCGTAAAGTCCGAAGAACGAAAGGAAATTGAATCCAAAACTTTTCTTTCCTTACATGATTTAATTGTTCCAAGTTTAAAGCCCAAGCGCGCGGGTCCACCTAGAGCTCAAAATTGTTTTTTGATCTTTAGGAAGGATTTACAGGCCAGTATGAAATCTCAAACGGACCTAAGAACGTCTTCAAACGGTTTGATTTTTAGAACATACTTAAAACAGTATTTGCAAAATTATATGCCATCTCCCGACGACAAAACATCTGGAATGAAGATAGTTTCGAATACCGCTTTTAAGATGTGGACATCTGAAACTGAAATTAAGCAGGTCTATATACAGGTTTCAAAAATTGCAAAAGCTGTCCATAAATTCATGTGGCCGGATTACAAATACCAGCCCAATCGAAAAAAACGTATACAAAATTCTTTTCTTTGTGAACCTTATACTTATATTCCCGAACCCTCTCAACAAACACAAACATCATATTCTCGTAATTTTGTTCCTTTTACTCGAATCCCATACCAGCCCAATCGAAAAAAATGTATACAAAATTCTTTTCGTTGTGAACCTTATACTTATATTCCTGAACCCTCTCAACAAACACATACATCATATTCTCATAATTTTGTTCCTTTTACTCGAATCCCTCATATAACACAATTGGATGTCGCTCCAAGTAAGTTAAATTATTCTTATGACAGATCTCTCTGTCAGTCTGTTGACAGACATGTAGTGATTTAATTACGCGTTCGCGTTTAAGATCACGTGAATATCAACTAATTCAAATTAAGGAAATGCGTTGTATTTTTTTTCTTTACGTCATTAGTTTATCATTATTTATATGTTTATTTTTAAACCCTTTTCATATGTCATTACATATATGTTTTCATAGATTTTTTTGATGCTAAAATAAAGTTCCTGTCTTATATAATCACAAACACCAATAATTATGAATAAATGCTATGTGAATAAATAATGTATGATTAAGTACAAATATTTATGTTCTATAAATAATTTGCTCTGTTTGTATTGCAAATTTATTACTACGCTATATGCAAATCTTCGTAAATGTACATCATGATTCACTTCTAACCTTATAAAGTTTATAATAAAATGTCTTCTATAAATGGACACCTCTTCAAATACGCGTTTTTGTTGTGGTTCCAGGGGAAATGTATTTAGTGTAAATTCATTGTTTATATATAGTTGATAGTCATTACACCATTGGTAATGCATGCATTTGTTCTTTAGTTAATGCTACTAATCGATTTTAGAAACCGTTCGATAATAGACAATGAGTTAGAGAAGTAAAAATGTTATAGTCATTATCATTAATTATAATTTATATTAAAAACCGGTTTATCATATTCTTTTTATATTGAGGTAATATAAGTTATCGCCATATTGCACCATGTTACATAAATATACCTGCATCTCTTGTCAGGGACACATAATTTATGCGATATAAATTTTAATTTATATAATATATCAGATATTTATACTTTATTTATTGATAAATTTATCATTAAAAGCACGTACCAATTTTATTATATTTATTTGGTTACGCCCAAAAACCGAATTTTATTTTTTTAAAAATTCTGAACTAATCGAATTTTAAGCAGTTGATTCCATGCACATATATATTTATACATTAAAAAAAAAAGATTTTATTTTCTAAAATAAACCAATATTCTTTTTACATTCAAGTTTTTTGCTGTTACAATAAAGTATAAATATTTAATTACATATAAATATTTAACGTTCGAACATTTGTAGTAGTTTCTCTTCCTCACTTAAAACTCTACATATAATCTAACCAAAATTTTATCATAATCAAAAACAGGCATCAAAAAATATTAAATTACGAAATTTATTTTGCTATCACATGAATGTGTAACGAAAAAATCGTAACCTCTAATTTAGTGTAGTACCATCGCTATAATTTCGATGCTGATTGGTTATTTATCTTCTCGTATGATGCTGAAATTAAAACCACGATTTTTATTATATATATATATATTATATGTTAGTTTTAGACTAGAATATAGAGTTAGAGTTTATAATAAGAGTGTAAATGAATTTTGGTAGGATTTTTATTAGCGAGATTAAAGAAATTAATTGAATATTATTTAAACTTCTAAAAAATTTATACAAACATCGCATTTTTATAAATGTTTTCTTGAATAAAAAATATTTTATTAAACCTATCAAAGAAGCGATATTTGATTTTTACACAAAACTTCTAAAGTAAAAAGAAATAATAATAATTAATAATATTCGAGAAGACTAGGATTGCAGCCCAAACATTTTTTTTAAATTACGGTATTACTACTTAGTTTGGATTTAGGAATCAGAATTTCTACCCAGTTTAGGTTCATGGCCAAACCCAAATATATGTCTCATTTCGGTAGATAATGTTAAGCTCAAAACCACCGATCCATTAAATAATATGCGTGTATTTAGTAACAAAATATCAAAACTTTAAGTTATTCAAAAATTTTAAGACTTTTAACCTGGTTCAAAGGTTGATAAACTTTTAAAGATCGAATTTAATTAGGAAATAAGTCTAAATTAGATTGGGTGAATCGATTATCAGATAATTTAAATATTGATATGCACAAGTTATAACGACTTTATTAATTTCGTAAAATTATATCAGGAACAGAACGAACGAAGTGTCGGTTATATGAAGTGTGAAATAACATGTACAGACCCATGAATTTGTGTGGGTAGCAATTAATGATGCAATATTTTTGCAATGGTTCATAAGAGCAACTAAAAAAAGAAATAATAAATAAATAAAAATTAGCACATAATGTTAAAAATACATTTTTAAACATTGGTGGGTGACCCGATTTAAGTTTTTTTTTTTTTTATTGGCTTTTTAGATTATAATTGCCGAATTAAAAAGATAAACGAATGAATTGTTAAACATATCACAGGCATGCTAATATTTATTATCTAAAATCTAATCCAATTATTTATAACGCATTACTATATAGTGGATTAAAGCATGCAATAACGATTTCGAATTTTAAGATGTGTTTATGATAATCGAGCTTGGTGACTGTCATATTATTTAAAATAACCAGACCGCCATGATATCCAACTACGATATTATACACTTTAAAATCTCCCTAATAAATTATGTGTTAGTATCTTATTTTTTTTTTAAAAAAAATGCAACATTTATTCTTTAAAAATTAAGCTTGCTTTAAAACCAGATATTACAATAGTACTACTGTATTTGATATTGGCCATACCAATGACATAACTCACTCAATACTGCAATTTCACCGGCAACTCTATATCCTCCGTTCTTAGTCTTGCATGATAATGTCACGTAGATTAGTGATGCCTGACGAAACCATGTGATGCTAATTGTCACATGGCACAATATATAAAAATAAACAATCTATTTTGAATTTTTATAAGTAATAGCACGTGATAATTAGCATCACATGGTTTCGTCAGGCACACTAGCGTAGATACCTTATTAAATATCGTTAAGTATTGCCAAGTAATAAACTGTAAGTCAGAATTCATAGTCTGATTATATCTGCGTAGTCGTAGATTTATAATTCAATTGGATTAGGATTTTGGAAAAATATGCTCGTAATGCAAGTTTTGAATCACACAGTTAATTTAGATAAACTAAACTTTAAAATATTTCTTAATAGTTTCTACACTATTGCACTTTATTCATTTACTCAATTATTTTTACTGACAATAACTATACATACTTTTAACTTAATTAATACAAGTTCATTTTGTATAGATCACTTAATAAATAAACAAAAATAAACTTAGTAATTTTTTGAGATAACTACAAAAGGTCTACACTTTTATCAAATATAAAGAATAATAGCAAAAAATTTATAAAATTCAAAACTACTTAAATACATATACATTTTTTATAAAGATATCAGGCTATGAAAACTTTGAATATTAAAAAATTTTGCTAAAAAGTAAATACCTTAGATACAGTCAAATCTCAGTTATGTCTCTACTTAGTTATACGTATCCCTACATGAGTTATATCCCATTATTTAATAAAATAATGTCCTATATTATTAAATTCTACCTTAGTTATATCTCTACTCAAGCTATATATATCCAAAAACTCTCTGGGCAAAAGGGTGATATAATTGAGGTTTGACTGATCCGTTTATAAGCTTTACATAAACTCGGATTCATAAACATACTCGAAATAGAGTCAAACTTAAATAAGTACGATTTATTTGGCTTTTTTTTTGGTCTATTGGCAGTTAGGTGCATTTGTGTTATCTCTTTGAGAATACTTGCGGTAAAAAAACAAACCCAACCCCAACCATATCAAGATACCCAATCCTGTAAAGAAACTAAGGGCTATATTGCTTTCAACTAAATGAGAATTTTTTGCCAAAACAGTTACTGTTGTGGTAGGATTTGGACTTGTCTTGCTAAACTTAATGCCTAAACAATCAAATGAACTGAGGGTGGAGGAAGTGTTTAATGACAACTAATGATAGGGTTATTGGAACAATTTAATTCTATAATGCCTCCTCCCATCGTCCGCAAGTCCAAAGTTTGAAGTAAATTATTACTGATATCAAGATAATTAAGGGAAGGGGCATCCAGATAGAAATATGACATTTCATTATTAGAGATATTAAATTTTTTTACTTTCAGGAGAGAAAAATTAAAGAAATTAATTTCATTATGCGAGCAGTCAAATTCTTCCAAATCATTATTTAGTGAAAAATCGTTCAATTGATTAAACGAAACATTCAATTTTTTTATTAGATTAGTAATCCAAGGTAAGCCAAGTAGAATCCACCTTCTAAGTTTTTATTACTAAGATCTAACACAGTAAAAGAACTTCGATTAGCCGCTGGATAGTTTTGATCTGCATATTGCGTCGCGTTTACCATGATGGTGTCATGGTGACATAAAGTATGCGGTGAACATGTTTAAAAATAAGGGTAAG